CTTAGAACCATGCAGGGTTACAGGAGACGGCAGCACTGCAGAGGTGAGGACCAGCAGCTGTCTGAAAGAGACAAAACAATACACACAAACACACACAGCAACAGACGAGAAACAAACAGAGAGAGAGGAAAAAGTAGTTAGCAAGCTCTTCAGGACAGCTTAGAACCATGCAGGGTTACAGGAGACGGCAGCTTTTCATCTATGGATTCAAGGATCAAAAGATCAAAGGATCAAATTCTTGTTAAGATTCTAAATATGTGTGACATCACATCCCGAAAGCCAATTGGGTTGTCAAATGACATTTTTTTGGACCCTGGTATTTTTTTACTTGGAGAATTCATCAGTAAAGTTTAAATATGAACATATAACATGAAGGGAGACGCCAGCTGTGTAGAGGTGAGCCTTTGTGAGTCTTTTTTTCCGTTAGTGAACAATCGAAAAACAGAAAAAAGAAAGAAAACTTACCTTAGAAATCTGTAGGGTTGTTTCCTCTGAGACATGTTGGAATCTGTAAACAGTTACTCCGAAAAGGATCCAGATTAGATATTTCAAAATACTTCTCTGGTAAAGGTTTCAATTCTGCAAACATAAATGCTGCGATTAACGAAGTCGTCGCTTTTCACCCCTATTTATGGATTTAAGGATCAAAGGATGAAATTTTTTGTAAGATTCTAAATATGTGTGATGTCAACTGAGCAGGGACGTGACGTCACTTGAATATATGTGACATATATTCCAGGCTGCTACTGGTCTCTAGGTGACGCTGTGTTGTAGCTGATTGGCTGACGCGGTCGTGCGGTACGTCCTGTGCGTTTTCTGCTGACACGTGACAGTACCCGGATTTTGGTGACGTCGCAGAACAACAAAGATGGCAGGAATAGGAAGCAGCACGTACTGGGAAGGTAAGGCAACACTCGAGCCTGTTTACAGCAAGCAGTATTATAACAGCACTTTTTTTTTTTTTTTTTACCGTTTTCATAATATCAGCAATTAATTTGCCCCTGTCACACCACCTCTGGCTGTAAGAAACATGGTTTAAAAACACACATGCCACTACAATAACAAGTTAGCTCCCAACAAGCTAGCGAACTAGACGCCGTGTAAGTTAATTTAACTGTGTTCCTTCGGCGGTTTAAGCCGTGTCGTTGATCTAAACGGCTTATCAGCCTGGTACATCGAGTGTGTCAGCTGCTTCGTTAATTGTTGGCAGTGAGCAGATAGCGTTTTCATATTTCCCCCCCCCTTGGTTAATGTAGTGTTAAAACAATGAGCGTTGTTGCTTTAGCTTTCGGTAGCACAGAAGTTTTTTTTGTTGATGTTTAATGCAGAAAAAGAAATGGCATATTTTTTAAAATTGCCCCCCCAATCCGGTGACAACTGATACAACTGTATCAGTTGTCACTGGATTAGAGGCGGGGTACTCCCTGAACAAGTCACAACTAAAACAACTAAATTGCTCATGGGACATTTCACCTTCGTAGTACCATGTTGGACCCGCGTTTACACAGTAAACGCGGACTTTGGTCAGAGACTTTGGTCTATATTCGCATGAAAACATCACACAGTTGGCGCCAATTTGTGAATCTCCTGTACCACTACACCCCAAAAATGCTCTATTGAGATCTGAAGCCAGTGGTAGCCATTTGAGCACAGTAAAGTCATTATCATGTTCAGGAAACCAGTTTAAGGTGATTTGAGGTTTGTGGAATGTGTGTGTGTGTGTGTGTTATCCTGCTGGAAACAGCCATCAAAACTGTGGTTATAAAGGGATGGATATGGTCAGCAACAAGACTCTGGTAGGCTGCTGCATTTAATTGATGCTCATTTGGAGATAAGGGACCTGGTAATAGCCAGCACACCATTACAACAACACTATCAGCTTGAGCTGTTGATTCAAGGCCGAATGGAGCCATGTTTTCCTGGTTTTTTTTTTTTTAGAATCTTGCTATTTTAATGTTGCAGCAGAAATTAAGACACATGTACCAGGCAACGTTTTTCCAATCCTCTACTGTCCATCTTTGGTGAACCTGTGAACTGTAATCTTACTACCCTGTTTTGTCCTTAGCTGTCAGAAATGACACCCAGTGTGCTGTAGGTAGGTTATCTGCTTTAAGGTTTGATGTATAGTGCATTCAGTGATGTTCTTCTCCATACTTTGGTTGTTACAATTGTTTTTGTTTTCTATTTAAGTAGTTCTTGTTGCCTTCCTGTCAACTTGAAGCAGTCTGCCCATTCTCTTCTGTCTTCAACAAGGCATTGTCTGCCAGGGAATTGTTGCTCACTTGATATTTTATGTTGATATTTTATGTTTTTGGACCATTTTTTGTAACCCCTAGAAATGGTCATGTGGAAAAATCCTGAGTTTGAGTTTGTGAAATACTCAGAACACCCTATCTGCCATCAACAACCATGCCACATTCAAGTCACACAAATAACCTTCCTTGAAACTTTGAACTTCAACAGGTTGTCTTGACTATGTCTTGACTTCACTATGCCTAAATGCATTGAATTTCTGCTAATTGATTGTCTGAGAGTGTCACCATCTACCGGAACCGTGTTTGCACATATACTTGGCCAATAAACACGATTCTGATTCTTCTTATTATGATATTTGCTTTGAGTATTTGGATGTGTGTATTAAACAAATTGGCTAGAAAGTGTTTAATAGGGCAGGGCAATATGGCCAAAAATATTTATCACGATATATATTTTGAAATTTGCAATAACAATATAACTGATGATATAA